AGTGTGATCTCTGATGGTATTGTTCCATGTCTGAATTACATCACAAATTGCCAGTGTAGAGTAGGGCTTATCTTTGGTGAATTTCATATTTGTTCTCAATAAACTCATGTTAAACTTTCCGTCTGTGTCAATTGTTGGATCCTCTCATCCGCGGTGTATAGTTTTGCTAACAACCGACCCGTAACAAATAACAGTTAAAGAAAGAGGACTCTCCAAGTCAAGCAATGTTTCTTGCCTCATTGCTTGAGATAGCTAATGGACAAGGCAGAATGGTGGCAGTGATTAGTTAATTTAATAAGCTCTCTGTATAGCATTTCCTTGGAAAGTTACCATAGGTTCCGGTTGTAATCATCCGTGGAACACTATATTTAAATTTCTATTACATATTATCGAAATTACCAGAATTTCAGTGACGAATATCCTCAAGGCCTTTATAAATTTTTATAAAGAGTTACCAAGTGCAACCAGTATGAAGTACTACTATATTTAAGTGTTACAAAAACCTCACCGGAAGTCAACAGACGTTCCAAAAATACTGAAAGGTATGAAGAGGTTGGCAAACCAACAAGAACCACGACAAGAAAGCACAAATGCCAGGAGGAACATATGGACAAAAAGACACCCCCTGATTAAGAGACATGCAGGGGAACCCTGATTCAAAGGGATCAGTATCGCGACGTAAGCACGAAAAGGGGTAAAAAAAGTGGGTGAAACACACCCCCAGGAATGAGGGAACAACGGACCTGAAGGGACACGGAACCGAACCCAGGGAGGGGGTAGACCCGAAACCAACATGAACACAGAGGGGGGAAGGAAAAACCCAACTCTGAGGAACTGCAAGGCCCATACCGAAGATACAAAGACCCAAGCGGAGCAAAATGGGGCCGAGGCCTCCCCCCCAGGCAACCCCTCCCCAACCCCGGGAACCTCAACGGCAGGACCCGGGGCCGAGCCGTACCCCCAAAGCCCCAGCCTCACAAGGAAAAGTCAGGGCAGCCGTGCAAAACTCTAAGGAAGGGAGCCCACTGGTCAGACCCATACAGTGAGGCTGGAGGAACAGGCTTGAATGCCTCCGCCACCACCCTGGAAGAGGAAAACCCCCGAGACCACCCGAGTCTCAACCCAACCAGACCCTGCTCCAACCCCAAAACACGCCTACGGCTCTTAGCTGGAAGCAAGGGGAGGAAGTAAGCACAACAGAAGGGGTTAGGACTAGGAGGAACAGAAGCAACCAGAGCTGAAGCGACTCCCACTCCCAAGTCCGGACACCAACAACCAAAACAGGGCAGTCTTCGGGGCATCCTGGGCAGCAACCAAGAGCGTTGTAGCAACCTAAACCTAGCATGCAATGCCGCAGCCGCCTGCACCCGCTTATCATGACCAGTGGCCCGGGTGAACGAGAGCACGTACTGACAACACCTGTCGCACAACACCAGGTCAAAAATTCAATGACCCAACAGGCAGCAAGGTGGAGGCAAAACAGGTGATTGTCACCCTGAGACAAGGGGGCAGAGCAACCTTCAAACTCGCAAGACGCGAGGTGGGGATGAAGGGATCACATCCATCGGACCACAGAGCCCCCGCGGAGTTTCCCAGGGCCTTGGTAACATGCTAAGGGAAGCCCAGGCAGGGTACGGTGAATCGGCGCCCAAGTCTACCAAACAAACTTCTAAAAGCTGAACCCCCCCGGGACATGTCCACTCACAGGGGCCATGTGGGGAGCACCACCAAACAGAAAACATATATAGAAAAACCCCTAGAACAGCCAAGGGGGACCACAAAGGCAGAACCCCCCACCAGGCAAATACAAAAGAAAAACCCCGTAAGAGGACAACGTACCTAGGCGGAACAGAGCCGGCCGCTGTTATAGGTGAAAACTAGCTGTGCAGCACCCCGCGCTCCTACCAGTGACAAAAACTACCTCCTACCCAGAGACAAACAAGGGCAACAAAACCCCAGCTGACTCCAAGGGCAGCCCAGTACCAAGCAATAAAGAACACAGCGGAGCTAAAACCCAAGGTGACTTGTGGAAGGTGGCCCCAAGGATAGTACTTACATGGCACCTAGGAAAGAGAGCCCTAGGCGCATGCAGCCCGAGTACCGTGGAATCTCACTCCTGGCTCACACCCCACTGGTAGAGATAGCCCACACCACCAGGCACAGAACTGAAACAAAACCAGAGCCAAAGGCACTCGACAGGCCAGTAATCACATCAGCCAAGAACTGCCAATTGGATCGCCGGCGCGGATGGTATGGGGCTCTCCCTCCCCCAATGGCGAGGGGGGGAAGGGAGGCGCAGACGGCAGTGCGGTGACGTGATGACATTATGATAGTTTGATAATTTTGTTTGGGGAGTTTTGTTCACTAGTTCGGCTTTTGGTAGCAATATTTTAACCAGAATAGGGGGTTTGTTTTGGGGCGCCTACCTTTATGGGTGACTGTCCCGGTCGATGGCAGATATAGAATGCTCCCAACTACAGGGGGGGTTTCTATAGGCCATTGCTCCTCATGCCTCTCTGAGGGAGCCAGGTTCTGGCTTGTGGTCCCCGGTAGGCAAGAACTCCAAGCACTTTGACTGATGCCAGAAAGTTATACATGTCCATTCAGCCTGGATAGCTCCGGGGAGCTGATGGGGCTCCCCCCATAAAATATTTTTGGACATTGTTGAAAGTAACTGATAATAACATTGGGCAATGTATTTATATGATATATAACAAAATAGAGCATAGTAACATACTTACTCATTATTATTTGTGTTATTATGTATCGCTCACGACTGCTATAAAGGCACCAGCTGTATATCCACTTTGTGGACACTTCTTATTACTATTCTTCTTCTTTGTGCGTCGGACAGGTGCTTACATCTCTCTATTATTGCATTATCCATCAGTTCCAGTTAATAGAAGCGGTTCTCCTTATCAACAAAATGTTCTTCTTTTTTAAAAATTTGTCTAAAATCAATTTCTGAAAAATATTTTGATGAAAGTTTCACGATGCTGTAGCCAATAAGTTGGAGATTTGTTTACCATTTTTAAATAATTTTGATATTTCGAATATCAAAATTTGAAATATCGAATTCGAATAATTTTTTAATTATATCCCCCCTTATGCTGAGCAGTTTAAGTGTTAATGCCTCTAATCTTTCCTCGTAGCTCTTGTCCTTTAGTTCTGGTTGACACTTAGTGGCATGTCTTTGCACCTGTTCCAGTTTGTTGATGTGTTTCTTTAGATATGGGCACCACACAACTGCTACATATTCCAGCTTTGGTGTAACAAAAGTCGTGAACAATTTCTTTAATATTTTGCCATCCATGAATTTAAAAGCAATTCTGAAGTTAGAAAGTGTAGCATAGGCCCCTCGCACAATGTTTTTAATGTGATCCACAGGTGATATTTTTCTATCTAGAACTACCCCTAGATCTCTTTCTTTATCAGACTTCTTTAAAGATTTCTCACATAATATATAGGTTGTGTGGGGTCTATGGTCTCCTATTCCACATTCCATAACATGGCATTTATTTACATTAAATTCCATTTGCCAAGTGGTGCTCCATATACTTATTCTGTCCAGGTCTTCTTGAAGGGTATGACAATCATCTAAGTTACTTATCTTCTCTATTATCTTAGCATCATCAGCAAACATGTTCATATAATTCTGTATTCCATCTGGTAGATCGTTTATGTAGACAATGAACATTACCGATGCAAGAACTGAATCCTGTGGTACTCCGCTCGTGACATTTCTCCAGCTGATACACTTCCTCTTATTACTGCCCTCATTTTTCTATCTGTCAGATAATTTTTCATCCATGTTAGCAGCTTACCTGTCACCCCCTCCAATGTGTTCCAGTTTCCAGAACAACCTCTTATGTAGAACTCTGTTAAAAGTTTTTTTTAGGTCCAGATAGATGCAGTCAACCCAACCATCTCTTTCCTGTAAAATCTCAGTGGCTCGATCCTCCGTGGTGTAGTGGTAAGACACTCGCCTGGCGTTCCGCGAGCGCTATGTCATGGGTTCGTATCCTGGCCGGGAGGATTTACTGGGCGCAATTCCTTAACTGTAGCCTCTGTTTAACGCAACAGTAAAATGAGTACTTGGATGAAAAAACGATTCTTCGTGGCAGGGGATCGTATTCCAGGGACCTGCCCGAAACGCTACGCGTACTAGTGGCTGTACAAGAATGTAACAACTCTTGTATATATTTAAAAAAAAAAAAAAAAAAAAAAAAAAAAAAAAAAAAAAAAAATAGAAACTGAGTAAATTTGTTACACAGGATCTTCCAGATCGAAAACCATACTGACGGTCTGATATTAAATCGTTTGTCTTCAGGTGTTCGACCCATTTAGTTCTAATTATTCTTTCCAATATTTTGAGTATTACACTTGTCAACGATACAGGTCTATAATTGAGGGGATCTTCCCTGCTGCCACTTTTATAGATTGGAACTATGTTGGCCTTGTTCCACATGTCTGCTATGACTCCTGTACATAGGGATGCCTGAGAAATCTGGTGAAGTGGAATGCTGTTCCATTCTCAAAATTCTCAAGCGGTGCGATGACAGTTGTGACGTCATGCTCGTTTGCTCGTTTTTAGTTTGAGGGAGTTCAGTCCAACAGTTCGGCTTTCAGTAGCAATATTTCAACCTGATAGGGTTTGTTTTGGGGCGCCTACCTTTCTGGGTGCCCGACCCGGTCGATGGCAGACATAGAATGCTTCCAGCCACACGGGGGGTTTCTATAGGCCATTGGCCCTTGCTTGTGGTCCCCGGTAGGCCTAGAACTCCATTCGCTTTGACCGATGCCAGGGTGTAATACAGACCATTCATATTAGCACGTATAGCTCTGGGGAGCTGAAGGGGCTACCCCCAGAAAAGAATACCCTATAAATATTTTGATAACTATAAAAACTGGAAAGATTTTGTCAAAGTTGGTTAAAACCTAACTAAAATCAAGTGCAATATAAACTAGACTATGCCACTGACTGACATTAAGAATACAACCTTGAAGAACTTCTAATAGCTTCAGTTTGTCTCCAAGAATTGCTGCAGAATGAAGCAGAGTACCAGCATGCCCTAGAGGTAAAAGAGAGGAGCCAGGTACTCGTAATCCTCCAAGAGCAGGAGAGCCCACATTACCAAATTGATAACCAGCCCCTGTGAGGAAGCCTGGTGCTGATGGGAACTGTGGAAAACCTGAAAATATATGAAGAAAATTATTTACAATAACATGGCTCAAACAAATAACCCAACCCACACACATGAAGAATAAAAAGTGACAATGTTTTGATTCGTGCTGGACCTTTGTCATGACACGACAAAGGAGTCGAAGAGTGAATCAGTATCAGACAAGAGGGAAGATTAGGTAAAAGGTGAGGGATAATAAATCAGAAAATGCACTATAATATAGTACATTACAAATTCAAAAATTAATAATAAGAATAAGAATAATTTATTTAGGAAAAGTACATACATAGTTGCAGAGTTACAGTACAAACAATCTGTTTGATTTAAAGATAGAGGTAGTACATACAATACCTAAAGCCACTAGTACGCATAGCGTTTCAGGCAAATCTGCTTTTCTGCTAACATAGAACAGTATATTTCTACATTACATTAACAATTCATATGAAATCTAATGTGTACCTGGCTACCTAGCGTGCCTACTGTACACCATGTCTGCCCGGTACCTTACTCTTTCTGCATGCCTGTCTGGCTTAGATCCAGTGGGAAGGAGGGCTGACCATTGAATATAAGAATTAAGGAAACTGCAGAAAGCCTATTGACCCACTAGGGGCAGCTCCTATTTATATATAACTCATTTATATATGTCTAATTTACACTTAAAATAATCCAGTGATCCCATGTCTCCTGTTACCTGGTAATCTGTTCCATAATCAACAGTCTTGTTTCAAAACCAATATGTATCCAGATCTTTTCTAGATCTAAACTTATCCAATTTATATAAATAGTTTTGTGTTCTATTTTGTGTTGATATTTAACATCTTATTAATATTTAATATCAACCTTACACAGAGAATTACACTAATGTAAAACATATCAATGAAAAAATCAACTGGACTTCCTAGGTGACTCAAACTCATGACCAATGAACCAACAAGAGCCCCAGTTGATTTTCTCAACATCCCCTTTGTAATACTATTTAATTTACTTATCCACTTCAGTCGTGTCACCCCTAACATATCTTTCTACAAGATGTAAATTAAGATTTATCAATCTTTCTGATGTACATCTCTACCCTACACAGAACAATACAGTATAATACAAGACTCATCTATCAATTATTTATACACAAATTCACACACATTTGATGCTTTATTACATTTGTTATAAAATTATAACATGTCTGCGTTTGATAATCCGAATTACACAGTCCCTACCCCCATTCGATATAGCTGACATTCAAGTCACCCAAATTTTTACCAGGAAAGTCCAATAAATAAAAAAAAAAAACAGCGTTGAAACTCCATTTTCTGGGTGAGCTCCGGAAGCTCCCTGGATCTTATCGGGCTAATGTGTTTTATATTAGACAGAGTCATTAGCTTTGGAGTTCAGACCTACCTGGAACCACAAGCCAGAATCTGGCCCCTTCAGAGAGGTTTCAGGGAGCAATGGCCCTGGAAAACCCCTGTGGTTGGGGTTCTCTGTGTAAGGTTGAAAAACTGAGGCCAGAGAAGTGTCTGTCCCAGTTGACATTAGCTTACGAACTGGAGTGCTAGGCAGCCAGTGCGGTGAGGTCTGGGGCCCCCTCCTCCTCTCGGGGAGGGGAGGGCTGCATGGATGAGTGGCTCGGCAGTAGTGTGCTACGTTTGCTTGTTCTTTGGGATTGTAGGGAGTTCAACCTCTCTGTTCGGTTTTTGTTGCTAGTTTCTTACCATGTGGGGTTTGTTTTGTTATGCCTATCTTTCTAGGTGCCATAACCCTGGTCAATGGTAGATAAGGAAAACCCCCAACCACAGGGGGTTTTCCAGGGCCATTGCTCCCTGCAACCTCTCTGAAGGGGCTAGGTTCCGCCGCTGGTCCCTGGTACATCTGAACTCCATAGCTAATGTCCTGGTCTAATATAACATACATTAACCCAGATAAGCTCCAGGAAGCCATAGGGGCTCCTCACAGAAACATGCGAAAAACCGCCGACTGGAGGGAGGTAGGGTTGCCAGGAGCCTCCGGGTCTCACCCAGAAATTGGTGTTTCAGTACATTCAATGTTGGTGTTCTGGGGGAAGTCCCAACAGCTCCCTGCAGCTACATACCAAAACACAAAAACAAGAGGGACTTACCCGGGAGGCGGTCGTTGCTAGCTCCTCAATGCGAAGTCCAGACAACTGCCTGCAACCACCGACCCAAAGCAACACAGGCCCGACTAGGCCCAGGAACACTGACAAGGTAGCGAGCGAACAGGACGCTGTTCGACCTCAAAAAACGCGGTGCCTGAATGTCAGCCCAAGATATGTTACCAAAGACGACAGCAGGCTCAGCAAACCTATGAACGTCGTGGGCACGGGGATAGACCGCAGGCTGGCTAGACCAAATAACCCTGCGAATGACCTGAAAGACCCGAACCCTGGAACAGGGAAGAAGGGAAACCGGATCAACCCAAACCGCGTCCCCAGCCACGGAGGCCGTGGGGCGCAGGTAACGGCAAAGAGCCACAACCAGACACAACACATGATGCATTCCCCGGCCAAACCAACCGAGCATCAACAATCCAAAGACCCCTCCGGAAAGCAGCATCCTCTTTCTTTGCCAGAAAAGAAGGAGATGGATGCAAACGAAAAAACCTACCACCAGGACCAAAAGACCCAAACCCTCTGTGCTGGAGGAGAGCATGAAGCTCCCCAACCCGACCCCCAGAGACCAATGCCAACAGGAAAAGAGCCTTCGCAAAACAATCTTGAACCGAAGGGGCCACAACAAACTGAGGAGGAGAGAGAAAAGAGAGCACCCGGTTCAATGACCAGGACGGCTCTGGTGGCACATGAGCAGGCCGGAGGTGAAATAATGCACAAGACAGCTTGTGGAATGGAGCCAAAGTAACATCAACCTCGAACTCAAGCTGAAGTGGCTCTGCCAGTGCTGCACAATACGCAGCGTCAGTTTTCGGCATAAGATGATGGTCCTGAAACAACCAAGAAAGGTAGGACAAGACAATCCGATCCGGAACAGAAGACAACCTACGGAGGGACAAGAAATAACGAAAGGACTGCCAGAAAACTTCATACTGCTACCAAGATGAAGTTCACAGGTGGGACGCCATCAATGAAGCCACCTGCTCAATATACATGTGGTGATTGACCCACATTAAAAAGACCAAACGCGAAGACTTGAGGAAAAGATAGAACCAGCTACGTAACAGACTAGCCCAATCTGCTGAAAGAGGCGGAACCACAGGAAGACCCCCTGGGTTTGGACACCGAGCAAGCAGCGCTTGAAACCACGGCTGGCCGGCCACCAAGAGACCAACAGGACTACTCTCCCTTGGTAAGTCTCCAAGCAAGCCAGGACCTGGAGCAACAGCGAAACCGGGGAAGGAGATACAGGTAACCTCACCTCAATCAGTTCTTCCTGAAGGCATCGACCTCGACAGCCTCACAGTTGGGGAAAGGCACCACATATATCAGGAGACGTCTCAACCACACTAACGCGAAGAGGTCCACCTCCAGGAGCCCGTACGTCTGGCAGAGCCAACTAAAGGAGTCGGCATTGACAATCCACTCCATGGACAGGGGAATGAACCAGGACAGGCCGTCCGCCAGGAAGTTGGACACTCCCCGAATTTGAACGGCCAGGAGAGCCAAACCCAGAGAACTTGGCAGATAAGTCACCCGAAGCGACACGCTACAAAGAGTCAAGGACCGCATTGACTGCCAGGTCTCACATCAGCCACTGAACTGGGGGTAGATAACCAGCAGAGTGTGTCTGGAGCTCCCCCCTTCACCCTCCCAGGGAGGGGGAAGTTGTGTAGACTGCGGTGCGGTGACGTGTGATGATGTCATACTTATTTGCTCGTTTTTAGTTTGGGGAGTTCTGTCCAACCGTTCAGCTTTCAGTAGCAATTTTTAACCAGATAGGGTTTGTTTTGGAGCGCCTACCTTTCTGGGTGCCTGATCCAGTTGGTGGCAGACAGAATGCTTCCAACCATACGGGGGTTTCTATAGACCATTGCTCCTCGTGCCTCTCTGAGAGGGCCAGTTTCTAGCTCGTGGTCCCTGGTAGGCTTAAGAACTCCATTCACCTGACTGATGCAGGGCCTAATGCATTCATATCTACCTGGATAGCTCCGGGGAGCCGAAGAGGCTCCCCCCCAGAAAAATACTCAACAATTGTAAGAATACCTTCATCCTCAACTCCATCCGTGATAAATAGTTTTCAACTGTTCACACACATTATATATACTGTCCTGTACAGTACAGTACTATACTATACTGTACTGTAGAGTACAGTATAACATTTCATGTATGCACAGAGCATTAAAATTTCAGTAAACATGAAATTTGTGTATACCTGTTTGTAGTTATGTGTTAAATGTCATACAGCAAAGTTAACATATTATTCAGACCTGAAGGCAGCAGACAACCAGACGTCAAAGGGCTACTACAGTGGTACCCCGGATTAAATCCAGGTGTAACACCAAGGCTGCTGTAGTAGAAGCTCATAAAAGCTGGACTGAAGTTGAAAGCCTGAAAAAATTACACACAACTTTATAAAAATCAAGTAGTGAATATAGTGAAACACTTTTTTCTAGAGAGCCCCTCAGGAGCTTCCTGGGCTCAGCAAAGTTCTCTTTGCAAACAACCAGCATTGAATGTAATGAAACACCATTTTCTGGGTGGGTCCCAGAGGCTCTCAGGAGCTTACTGGGCTGATTTGTATTCATTAGACCGTGGCATCAGTCATTTCGATTGGAGTTCCATGCCTACTGGGGACCACGAACCAGAACCTGGCCCCCTCAGAGAGACACGAGGAGCAATGGCCTATAGAAACTCTCATGTGGTTGGAAGCATTCCATGTCTGCCATCGACCAAGTTAGGCACCCAGAAAGGTAGGCGTCCCAAAACAAAAACCACCTGGTTAAAAATTGCTACCGAAAATCAAACTATCAAGCATAACTCCCAATCCGAAAACAAGCAAACAAGCATGACATCACAACCGCCACCCGTGCTGCTGTCTGCGAAGCTCCTCCCTCCCCAGGAGGGGAAAGGGGGAGCCCCACACCCTGCGCCGGCCATCCAACCTCAGTTCTGAGGCCGAATATAAAAAATGCAAATACTGTACTGCCAACCGGAGGGAGGGAGGGTGGCCGGGGAGCCTCCGGGACTCACCCAGAAAATGGCATTTCATTACATTAAATGCTGGTTTTCTATGGAGACCCCCCTCCCACTCCCCGAAGCTACCTAACCAAAGAGAAATAAGAGGGACTTACCCGGGAGGCTGCCATCATTCGCCCCTCAACTAGAAGTCGACACAACTGGCTACAACCGCCAACCCAAAGTGACACACGCCCATCTAGGGCCTAGAAAATTAACGGGGTAACGGGCAGCCAGGATCCTGTTCAACCTCTAAAACCCTCGTGCCCTAATGTCAGCCCATGACATATTACAAAAAACAGAAGCTAAAGCAGCAAATTTTCGACCGTCATGGGCATGAGGATAGACCACAGGCTGGCTGAACCGAATAACCCTGTGGAAAACCTGAGAGACCCGAGCCCTGGAACAGGGAAGAAGAGAAACTGGGTCAACCCAAAGTGTGTTGCCAACCACCAAGGCTGTGGTGCGCAAACAGCACCTAAGAGCCACAACCGGACAACACATGATGTACCACCAGCCGAACCAACCAAGCATCAACCACCCAAGGACCCTTCCAGAAAGTCGCCATCTCGTTATTTGCCAGAAAAGAAGGAGACGGCTGCAAACAAACAAACCAATTACCAGGACCAAAGGAGCAGAAACCCCTGCGCCGGAGGAGAGCATGAAGCTCACCAACCCGACACCCAGAGGCCAATGCCAACAGAAAGAGAGCCTTAGAAAACCGGGGTCACCATGAACAACGGACGGCTCAGACAGTGCATGAACAGGCCGGTGATAAAACAACGCACGAGAACGCTTATGGAAGAGGAAAGTAGTGACATTCACCCCAAACGCAAGCAAGAGCGTCTCAGACAACATCGCACGATACAAGGCGACAGTATTAGGCATTAAGTGACGCTCCTGAAAAAGTCAAGAAAGAAGAACAAAAACAACTCAATCAGAAATAGAAGATAACCTACGAAGCAAGAGAAAATGGCAGAAAGAACGCCAGGAAACTTCATACTGCCGCCGAGATGAAGCCCTCAGGTGGAACACCATCAATAAAGCAACCTGATCACCATACAAATGGTGATAAACCCGTGTCAAAAAGACCAGACACAAAGAGCAGATGCGAAGACCAAACCAGCCAAGTACAGTACTAGACTGGTCCGATCTGCTGGAAGAGGGGGAGCCACGAAAAATGCGAAAGGTTCAGACACCGAGCAAGCAGCGCCTGAATCCAAGGATGGGTTGGCCAGCAAGGGGCCAAGAGGACTACTCTCCTGTACTCTCCTGTGGTAAGACTCCAACTGACCCAGAACCCAAAGCAACAGCTGGACCGGGGGGAAGAGGTACAGGTAACCCCATCTTGACCAGTCCTGCCGAAAATTAAAATGCATCTACCTCGGGATGGATAAAATGCATCCTTCTCGCGTTCGGAGAAGGATGCCACATATATCAGGAGACGCCGCAACCAAGCCAACGCTAAGAGGTCCACCTCCAGTAGCCCATTTGTCCGGCAGAGCCAACTGAAGAAGTCGGCGTCGACCATCCATTCCATAGACAGGAGAATGAACCAAGACAGGCCGTCCACCAGGGTGTCGGACACTCCCTGGACATGAACCGCACGGAGAGCTAAACCCCAAGAAATCGGCAGACGAACCCCTCAAAGCGACCAGCCCCAAAGAGCCAAAGACCGAAGACAACACCCGCGGTTCAGGCAATGAACCACCAGAGAACAGTCTGAATGGAGTTTAACGGTCAAGCCCTGAGCAACCTGAACCCTCTGACAGCGACAGCCAGACCACCGCAAGACGGACCCTACCGCCCCTGGCCGGCCTGGTGAGCACTGGTCACAAAACCCCAGCCAAGAGACGATGCATCCGTGAACACATCGAGCAAGGAATCAGGTAGGCGCTAAGGCAGTGAATCCCGAAAAACCCTTAATGGAAACCGGCGATGCAGCAACTAACGCAAGCCCCCTCAAAGACCAAACCCAGCGCTCATGAGAGAGGCAGAAGGGGAGTCCCTGAAGGAACCAGAACAAACACCAAAGCCCAACCTGACCCAGAGGTTAAACCAGCACGGCGAAGTTCAGACTCCCGCATAACCGCTTGAGCAATTGCCAAGTGACCCAGGAACCCCCCCTGAAAACAGCTGAAGGTGGGACTGCAGCCATCACAACGCCTCTGGAGGGAGAGATAGGGAAGCCACATCCGAACCAGGGATAGAACCAGATGGGACTTTCGCCAGTTCACCACCTGAACCCGGTGAGCTGGAAAAGAACCACACTCCTGGTGAGCAGACAAGCAGACCAGCTGGGAGCCCACACCAACCAGTCGTTGAGGTAGGCCAGATCCCAAACCGTTAGTAGATGCAGATGGGTCACCATGACCTGGGTAGGATGCGTGAATATGCGAGGTGCCAGATTTCAGCCAAAAGGAAGGCAACAAAAACGATAAGCCTGACGCCCCACCACGAAACTAACCAGTTCCTGAACCCCGGGTGAATAGGAACGTGCCAATACACATCCTTGAAATCCAGGGACAACATCCAGGCCCCTAGCTGGAAAACTAGACAGAAGCTGGATCTGAGACAGAATGGTCATTCGAAAGGAGGGGCAAGGAATCCAGGGGTTCACAGCACAAGTCCAGAATGAACCTCATACTAGTATCCGCACAGTCCCATTTTGGCACTAGAAACAGATGGGAAACCCACATGAGGGTCGAGGTCGTTTTGACCACGCCCAAGCGCACCCACTCTGAGATGACCCGACGGAGATCAGGAAACTGCCCAATGCCACCACGGACCAGAAGAGACAACCCAAACGCCCATGAATTGTGGGACCAGGTGCGAGCAAAAGGGTGAGCCACCCCCCCCCCCATCACCCCCACAACTGGGCGAACCGTGAAAGGGCATACTAGAAGCTGGCAGACAAGCAGAGCGATCATTGTGCCAGCTCCAAAGGCAATGTTGGCTCAGAAGCTGGCCCCAAAGGCCCACCATGACTGGAGGAACCCAGAACCCTGGCACAACTCATCTGAGAAGGGTCCCGGGAGAACCAACAAGTCGGACATGAGACGACAACTAGATAAAGCCGCCTGCAGAAACTGTGTGACCGCAGACTCCACAAACTGCAACAGACAAAAGGGCGAAGAAAACTTAACAGCCAAGGCCTATACAGATTCCAAAGAGAAAGCGAGCACAGCCTGTCGGCACACGAGGCGAGAAGCAAAGAACAGAGACACCGTCTCCTTGAGAATCACCATAAACAACTTCAACAGTGTGGCTAATGCCTGAACCGCTGAGGCCAGTGCACAAGACGAAGGCCCGGCACTCACCGCCTCCACATTCTCCTCAAGCCAGGCCGAAGACGGCTCGAGAAGGGAAAACGGCAGAAGTTTCTTGCCATTCGAGCATGCGGGTCCGACAAAACCCATGCCACGCCCCCAACAAAAAGAACGGGTAGACTGCAAGCCAGGAAGACTTCAGAATCACCAAACACACCCAATATGGGAAAAGAACAACCGAACTCAAGCGAGGACGGATCCATCACAAAGGCAGAATCCAGGTCTCGCAGAAGGTACACAGCAAGCACCTCCCGAACCTCTGACGGCGAGTTCTGAGAAGCAGAAAACCTCCGGAAAGAAGGAGCTGAGGAACCCAAGTAAATCTGGAACTGAACCCGGGGAGGAGCAAAAACCAAATCATACTCATACAGGGAAGGAGGATAAAAAAAAAACGGCAACAACAAGCCCTGCAAAGAGGGCACTAGCAACCAAGCAAAGGGGGCCCAAGCACCCCAGGTCAACTCCTTCACAGCCCTGGGATCCCTCAACTTGAGACCTGGGGCAGAGCAGAACTCCATACCCTCTACCCCTGAAGAAAAGGTAGAGTCCAGGGGAAAGCTGAAAAGAAGGGGGCCTGCTGGTAGGACCCAGAAGCCTCGGCAGGAGGAACCGGCCTCTATCTATCCTCTAGTGCCTCTATCCCCAACTTGAATGGGGCAGCCACCGAAGCTGCCCATGTCTCATTACCTACTAAACCCTGCCCCGACTCCGAAAACCCTCAGACGTTTGGGAGCCGGAAGCCAGAGTGGGGAAGCAGGATGAACAACAGGGGGAAGGACCAGGGAGCGCAGTCCTTTCCCTGTTGTCGAAGCAACTAACGCCCCCAAGTCAAGGTCCCTATAACCAAACTGAGCCAGCCTCAGGGGTATCTGGGTGGGCAACCAACCTAGCGCATTGGAGCAACCTAAAACGAGCATGCAACGCAAATGCCGCCTGTACCCTAACAGTGAATTCATCAAAATAGTACTGGAGAACACGACTTGCAAGACTCCAGGTAAAAGGTGTCGTTGACCCAAAAGGCAGCATGATGGAGGCAAAAGTTGT